CTGGAACAGTCTCTTTATCCTCCTTTCCAGAGTACTCCCCACTCCTCGCTGCGAAGACCCACAGGTGGAAAGTTCCCATTGTTGGATATAACCCCCAGCTCCCCGCCAACTGCTGTCATTGTTCCTGGAGCTTTTGCTGCCCACCCAGCTTGAGTGTTCCACATCCTGGTCTGTGTTTTCACTCTGCCTCAGCTCCTACCTCCATGGTCCCAGCCTACCCACCTTTTTGATAACAAAAGCTGCAGCCCCATCAAGACCACAGAGGCCATCCCACTACATTTCCTAGTAAGCCCCCTTCCCACTCCCAACCACTCCGGTATCCCGGCCTGTTTCCCTCAGCGGATGACTTTCTGCGTCCTTCTCTGAGGTAATGGCAGCTCTCAAAGGAGATGTGCCCTGTCTTCTGCTCAGCATGCAACCTTCATCCTCTCTGCACTGGTCCCATTCTCCTGTTCTCTGCCCAGCTGAGATGTCCTCCACATGTGCCTGGACCTCGCGTGCTCCAACCTGAGATTCTCAGATTCCTTTATAATCTGTCCTCCCCACCCCCGGAACTTCTCTCTCTACTGATTATTTTCTCTTATATTAACATCCACTTTTCTATTGAGGTAATTTCCTTGCGGTCCACCCCTCCCTTAATCCTTGATTCTCTGTCTTTCAAGACCTAGTGGTTCTACCTGCAACGTATACATCCATTTGCACTCTTTCTTTTTTTTTTAGAGGTTTTTGCTACAGGGTGCATGCGCTCTCCAGAGACAGACAGACAGAAAGCAAGAAATCACCCCCCAGGGGGGATGGCCACACCGCAATCTCTTCTCCTCCATTCTCCTCTCAGGATCTTGAGCACACACGCACACACGCTCAGAGTAAGTTTAAGCCACTGGGTCCGGGATTCAAACTGCTGTTGACTACGTGGGAGTTCAGCGACATAGCCATTATGCTAACTGCTGGTCCCCCAAAATAGTTTAATAGATCTCTGCTCCTTTTCTCGCTGCCGTGGTGTGGCTGGGTGAACTTTATGAAACATGTCAGTGCTACCCCTTCACAGCCTTCAGCGGCTCCTTGTGGCCTATGAACTGGCCCCCGGCCTCATGTTAGTCTCACTCACATTCCCTTTTGCTTCTTCAGGGAGATAGCATTCTTTCCTGCTGGAAGGTCTTAGTTTTCTTAGCACATTCTGTTCTCTCTGCCTCGAATTTCTCTCAACTTTTCAAAAATGTCACTCCCCAACCTTTAGCTTTCTGCTTAAGGGAGGTTTTCCCTGGCATCCTGAATCCAAGTCTCTCTCTTTTTTTTTATCATTGCATCCTGTTCATTTTGGTATAGCTGAACCCATTCCAGCTCACAATTACATATTTGTGTGATTTTTTTCCTGTCTCTTCCATTTGCTTATGTTCCCTGAGGGCAAAGATTCTGTTTCCAATGCCTAGAAGAATATATGGTACAAAGGAAGGACTTTCTGAATCAAATAATGAATGGACCAACAGGGAAGAGAGGCAGTGATGAGGATTCATGGAGAAGCTGTGACCAGCTGCTTCCCTGCTGGAATAAGCTGCTTTTCCTTACCCAAGACAACGTGGCATAAAAGTCATTTTTTACACGTGTAGGATCCAGCAGTTTTGGGTGGATTCCAGTTGTTCTGAGCTCTAGTGGGAAGCCACTTCCACAAGCCCTCTTTGTACAAAGTTCTCCACATATCATGATTTTAAAAATAAATAAATAAATAAATAAAATAAATCAAAGTGAGACACACCTTGGGCAGTGCAAGAAGCACACGACTGTAAGGCCTGACTCAGCTTCTGGCCTTTGGCTGTGTGTGGGCTTTATCACTCTGAGACTTTGTTTCCTCATTTGTGAAGTAAGAGGGACTAGAATAGAAAAGATAAACGTGCCCCTGATTTGTATGCTTTGGGCTGCAGGTAACAGAGTACTTAACAGTGGTATAAGCAATCAAGACATTTAATTATCTCTTGAAACAAGGATTTGGAGCCATGATGGTTCTAGGTTGGGTCTGGAGGGTGAGGGGAGGTTCAAAGACGCCATCAAGGACCTGATCTCGTCCTTCTACTGTGCAACTGACTGTCTTCAGGTTTGTCCCTCACAGTCACAAGATGGCTGCTGAAGCTCTAGGTATCATAGCCCCAGGTATCACAGCCCCCACAAGAGCATCAAAAGCAGAAAGGGATCAGCATAGGGCAGAGTTCTGCTCAAGGGTCTCTCCTCTTATCAGCAATAGAATCTTTCTGGGAGGTTCTCTAGCAGACTTTACTTTTATAAAGGTAACTTTGGCCAGAAACCCTTCATGTATCCACCTCAGACCAATCACCAAAGAGAATGGACGTGCCATGATTTGCTTACCCTGATGATAACTCATTCTTTAGGGCTGACCTGTAATCAGTTGAATCCCACGAACCAATTAGGGCACGGCTGTGGAAAAGACTACCTCATAGATCCCAAGAGCTGTGATTCTAAGTGCTTGGCCTTCAGGAGGCTTCCTATTTCCCTGCAGGTGCTCACAGTGTTCCTCACATCTCTGGTGAGATAGCAGCAAGGAATAATATTTTAATTTCTTTACATTCCTGAGTGAAGATGGAAGTAGAAAGGGTATACAAACAGATGGAGTCACTGGCCAAGAAAAATTCAGTGAGCAGCTAAGCCTAGCAGGTGGTCTATAGTAAAGGCCCTACAATTCAGCTGCCTGTTGCTGAGAGATGCTCTGATGGGGAGCAGAAAAGATTAGAGATCATGGGGCTGGCAGTTGGCATGGTGGTTAAGGTGCTGGACGTCCACATGGCCAACCATGGTTCAAGTCCCAGATCTGGTGGCTTGATTTCTCTTTCTCTCTGGTTAAATTAAACACTGAAAATAAATCTTTAAAAAAAAAAAAGAAGATTAGAGATTGCTGTAAATTATGAGGCAGCGCCCGAGTTAACTTCCTCAGCATCCTCAGCAGACTGCACTAGTTCTCCTGCCTGTCCAGGCCACAGACTCAAGTATTCCTAGTATTCCTAAAGTTGTTTGATAAATCAGATAACAAATGACAAATATATTCGTAATGACCATATTACTAAGAACCTACTATTTGTTAGGGACTGTGCTAGATCTTGAGACTACCCATACAAAGAAATAATGCCCCACTCCTTCAGATATGGCATTCTGTTGGGTTGTCAGAAAAGTCATGACACATTAAAAAAAAAAACCAAACAAGAAATACGTCATGACTTCTCTGACAACTCAACTGTTGAGCGAAAGCGCATGTAACAAAGAGGCCCTATGACAAGTGTGCAAGTGGGGGCAGAGAGTGGCAATGACCACTTCTGCTTAAGAGACAACCAGGAAAGGAGATGACCTTTGAGAGGAACTGGTGTTTTGTCCAATGATAAGAGCAACATGAGGGGCTAGGATAATTCTTAAAAAAAAAAAAAAAAAAAAAAAAAAAAGAGCAACATGAGCCAGAAAGGAGCCACTGGTCAGACCTGGAGGGACTATGGGCTTTATCCTGCCGGCAAAGGAAATTGGACACTTTCCACAGACAAGTGCTAAGGTAGCAATGAAATTAGTTTTCCTCCCAGAGATTACAGGAAAATTTTTGTCATTTGCTGAATACACTACACTGAGTTAATTCAATTATATACTGTATAAATAAAATACATAAATATATAATGGACCAAAGATTAATAGCTTTTATCTTTGTTACAAACTAGTCTAGCTATAGACTATTTATATATTGTATAAATAAAAAAGGACCAATTATTAATAGCTTATATCAAAATAGCTTATATCAAAATGTCCAACAAGCATGTTAACGTTTCTAGTGATTTTAAATAGTTGAATGGTTTGAAAATCACTAAATAAAATGTAAAAGAAATAATTTTTATATTTATTATTTTAAAAATCTGCTATAGTGCATATGTGCTCACCTGGGGGAGAGAGATGGAAAGTGAGATAGTATGCCACCAGGACTGGGACTCAAACCATGGCCAGTCAGGTGGGAGTCCAGTACCTTAACCACCATGCCACCTGCTGGCCCCAACAAGTCTAAGATTTTCTATTTTTATTAGTTCTGCTACTAGCATGTCTCTATAGCCAGAGGTGATGCCAGAACTCTCATTCTCCATCAGTGTGCTGAGGTATTCAGAAATTATTGTGCCCATAGTTCAAGACAAATCTCTTGTGTTATTTGTGGGTGACCAGAAAGATTCTTGTCACAGGAAGTGCTGCCTGACTCAGAAAGGGCTCCAGTGCTTACTTCCTCAGGCCTTTGTTTAAATGTCACCCTATCAATGAAGCCTCCCTTGACTAACCTCTTTAAAACCAGTCCCTGGCCATGCCTGATCTTCCTTACTCAACTTTTTCAATTGCCAGTGTGTGTGTGTGCTTGGCAGAGAAAGAGAGAGAGAGAGAGAGAGAGGAAGAAAGTAACCCCAGTGGGGTATGGTCATACCCCAATTCCTTCTCTTCCATTTCTCCATCCTGTTGGGATTTGAGGCATACAAGCCCAGCTTTTGTTTTGTTTTCCCTAACCCACACATCTTCATACGATCTATTAACTTATGTTTGTTGTTTATATTTCTGTTGTTTATGTCTGCTGTAATGTGTCTCTTAAAACGTGGCAGGAATTTTTGTGTTTGCTCACTGGTGTATCTCAACTATCTCTAACAGTGACTTACAGATGAACCAGACTCAAAGGTCAGGATCTAGGTAATGAGAAAATAATCCTACTCCATCTCTCTTCATTGACTATCCTTTGTCACTGCCACTGCACAGAAATGAGTTACTAAGTCAAGAATGAAAATCTTACTGACCTTGACAGAACAAAGCTGCTCATACCTGCATGCATATCTTTAGTATTGAGAAGTAAAGGCTGTGATGCCCTGGAGGGGTGGACTTTAGAAGCTATCAGGGCTAAAGGGCCGTGGAACAAAAGCAGAGGTGGGGTCTGAGACTCTGGTTGCAGACTACTGTAAACCTACTATAACAGATGATGTTCTTTTGAACAGGTATAAAAGTTTGGTCACTGGGACCCGAGCAAGAGGGGTCATTGCTATCCTCTGGGTCCTTGCTTTTGGCATCGGACTGACCCCATTTCTGGGGTGGAACAGTAAAGACAGTGCCACCAACAACTGCACAGAGCCGTGGGATGGAGCCGCGAATGAAAGCTGCTGCCTTGTGAAGTGTCTCTTTGAGAACGTGGTCCCCATGAGCTACATGGTATATTTCAATTTTTTTGGGTGTGTCCTGCCTCCACTACTCATAATGCTGGTGATCTACGTCAAGATCTTCATGGTGGCCTGCAGGCAGCTGCAGCGCACAGAACCGATGGACCACTCGAGGACCATTCTCCAGCGGGAGATCCACGCAGCCAAGTCTCTGGCCATGATTGTGGGGATTTTTGCTCTGTGCTGGCTACCACTGCATGCCATCAACTGTATCACACTTTTCCAGCCAGCTCAGGCTAAGGATAAGCCCAAGTGGGCAATGAATATGGCCATTCTCCTGTCACATGCCAATTCCGTTGTCAATCCCATTGTCTATGCCTATCGGAACCGAGACTTCCGCTATACTTTTCACAGAATCATCTCCAGGTATATTCTCTGCCAAACAGATATCAAGAGTGGAAATGGACAGACCGGACCACAGCCTGCCCTGAGTGTGGGCCTATGACCTAGGCCCTGGCCTCTTTGAGGAGAAGACACAATGCATAATAAAACAAAAGGACACGAGTGGCCGATTTCTGTTTGTGAAAGATAGCTGCACCTCACATGCATGTGGGGTTCCTCCTTTGAGTACTTCCCTGGAGCTACCACATATCTAGCCAATATGTACATGTTACTAGTAGGTTGACAAATATATTTATGGTTCCAGTTGGCTGCTCTTACTGTGTGGATGATGCTGACAGCTTAAATGGATTCTAAAAATCCTTTTATTTTTTTAAGAGTCTGACTCATTCATGATAGAAAATGACTGAAACTATCTACTGTTAAACACTGTGAACTATTTTAATGCAAACATTTTTTAACTTAAAGGCAACAGAAAAGTTGACTGCACTAAAAATATATACTTGTTCTTGGGAAGGCAACTAGGAAAATTCACAGTTCCTCAGTCAAGAAACTCGCATATTAATTTAGAGAAATGGTATTCTCATAAGTTCTTAAGTAGAATAATCAGATAATTTTAAGCGCCACTGTTTTCCCTATACAGAAAACTACCCTAGAAGAAGAAACTGGAGAAGTGGGCTTCCTTCTCTACCAGCTTCTTCCTTCTAGAGTTAGCAGTGAATTTTGTTTCTCTCCCAAGTTCAAGATTGACCAAGTTGTTGGAATCTAAGTATGAACATTTTACTAAGTCAAATTATATAACTGTATGTATTAGGTGAAATAAAACCTTTAAAAAAACAAGCTTAGGGTACCACATTGGCTTGTTATACAGAGCTGCATCTACCTTCTACATTTAACCCTGAAGGCTGCTTTAAAAAAAGTTTATTCTCAGTCTCAATGTCCCAAGTAGCAGAAAAATCTCCCTAGATTTTATTTGCTGTACCTCAGCTTAACACAATTCTACCAATCACATAACACTGGGCTTTCACTCCAAATTCATTCACTAGCAACTTAGCTTTTGGCTACACAGCATGGGGGTCCTTAGGCTGTAAAATCATCTGTTTTGTCCGTCCACTTCTTCAGTTCCTCCTGCAGTCTCCCTGAAGGATGCTGCAGGTTTATGAATCACTCGAGACAAATTCCTGTGCCTCTAGGATCATCTTCTACTCTGGACAGTTTTACCTTTAGTTCTTATCCTAAGCTGAAATCTGTCTCATTTTCACCTTTGTCTATCATTCTCCTTTATTCTCTTTTGGGGTCTACTGAGTGTCCTATCTTTCCCTTCTAATACTCTTCCTGGTGTCTATTTTGCCTTTTCTTCTACAGAATGAATGTCACTAGTAGTGTTTGTAGTTTTCTTCCAGGACACGACTTTTGGGCCATTCATTTATTTGTCCTGTTTCAAACTTCAGAAATACATGCAGAGCAAACTCTCCTGTTGCATTTTGAACAATACACCCTACTTAAAATATTTTGGCACTAACACCACAGATATTTGAAACTTACCAAAAACAGAACCTGTAAGTCTTTTCACACTTGCTGCTGTAAAGCCCATCTCTGCTCTGATATTGTATTGGTGCTGAAAAATTTTCTGGACCCAAAGAAAAAGACTAACACTTGTTCATCTAAACTTCATTTATTTCAGGCTGGCCACTTCAACCTTTTAAAAAATTACTAGTAAGTCAGTCTCTTAAGAATCTAACTGTGACAGAACATGGTACTAGACTTTAGTTGCATCAAAATGCTTGATGCTATCCAGGGACACTTTTTACCCAAGAGGCTCAGAGGCTGGTTCAGGTTTTTCTTGAGAAGATGTTACAGGGTTTGCAGTCATACACACGATTTCCACAGCTCACAGCTCCAACTCATAGCACCCCCTGCAGTCCTGGAGGGAAAACAGATAGTAGTAGGTCTCCAGGGAATCCATGTCACTTCTCTTTCATGTGAACCATGACATGTTAAATGCATTTCTTAATGAGACTTCTATTTTGAAAGATAATGATGCTGAATTTGTACCTTTTATGTTTCTTGTTTCTTCTCCATCAATAATATGTCAGTCAACTGCTTGTCAGAGACACTTAGTTGCTGACAGGTCCTCATAACTTGACTAAGATAAACTGCCAAGAGATGCTTGCACTGTGATTAAAAAAAACATACAAGCCTGTTAGAAACAGGCAGAGCTGACTAGGCTAACCAAGATTTCACTACCACCATATTTAACAGGAAACATCTGGGGAACATAGATTACGGAGCCTGTAACTCACTGCCCAAGAACAGCAGAGGATGAGGAGAAAAGTGTATTTTCTCTAGAAGTCAGAGGGGACAACAGAAGACCCAACTTTGCCTGACGCTTTGGAAATAGTAGATCCATCAGACAAAGGGTATCTAACCTGTGATGAAAACCAATAGATGCTCCTCATTTGAATCCTAAATTATATTTCTTTCTTCCTTGCCTTCAGAAGGCTGTCAACAGCAGCTAATATTCCTTGAGGCACAATACTGCAAAGTGCTTCTCACTATCTTAGTTAAATTGGATAGCTGGGGCCAGCAGGTGGCATGATGGACTCCCACATGGCCGACCACAGAGTCCTGGATCTGGCAGCTTGCTCTCTCACTGTCTCTCTCCTTTTCTTGTCAAATTAAATAATAACAAATAAAAATATTTTTAAAAATCTGATAGCTACCCTGTGAGGACAGGTATTGTTCTCCCTTTAACCGTACACTTAAGAGTTGATACCTACTCCCTTAGCCATTATGTTGTACTTTTGGGGTGGGAGTTGGGAGGTATTTGATAATAAAACTTCTCCCTATATTGGCTTGTATGTATCTCTGGGGAGATCACTGTGTTAGAGCTTATGTTACTCAACACAGCTTTAGTTTAGTTTGTTTTTAAAATTTGCTATAAAGTGCATGTACTTGCCAGAGACAAAGAGAGGGAGAGAGAGAAAGCACCCCTCAATGGGGTGTAGTCATGCCACAATCTCTTCTCCATCTTTCCACCTTGTTAAGAATTAGGGCACAGACACATGCAACTGATGTGTTTTTCAAACTGCTAGGGCTTGAATTTAAACTGTGTGGTCAGCCATGTGGGATCCAGCTCCCTTAACCTTCAGGCAACAGGGCCAGCCCCAGATTAAACCTTGAAGGGCCCCTAGTCCAATCCTATCATTTTATAGATGAAATAAATCATTGGCACATCATCTATGAATATGGCCTCTTAAACAAAGGGATACCTAACCTGCCACCAGTTCTCAAGATGTTTAAGAAGTTAACAGTGTAAAAGAAAGAAGAATGAAATGGACACCATTATTTTCTTTGGCAAGACCTAAACAACAGCTACCTGCTCTGCTCTGAGGAGAGTAGTCCTTCCTTTTGTAACAGGGAGTACATATGTCCTGATTGTTTGGTGCTCTCAACTCTGACAGAATTGGCAAAATTTCAGCAGAACGAGCAGCAGAGGCACGCCTGACCAATGCAAAAGTCAAGTGTAGTGCCAGGCTGTCTTAAAAGTGGTGGGAAGACACCTGTCATGCCGAAGTTGCAGATATACAAAGTTACCCACATCGGTTTAGTGCCTATTTTTAGGAGGCCATCTAATTCTCCAGTGCCAACATTTAGGATTACTCTTGTCCTCCCCAAAGTGTCATCTCTAACCTTTAAAATAGAAAAGTGGGAAACTGACGTAGTTCTAAAAATGACATGGCACTTTGGAAGGCTAAACCCGAGAGAGATGACTAACCAAAGTCTAGGACAACAAACTATTTGCTTCAAAATGTAGTAAAATCCTCATTGTTGTACAACTCTTTAACCAAAAAGGAAGAGCAAGTCATTTCTCTCCTGATTTGACTACCGTGAGAAGAGCTTTCCCCATCCTTACTAGCAGGCTGTCACTTTTCCGCAGCACTGAGAAGGCAAATGCAGGACACGAACAGTAATGACAAGATGCCAAACATGTGTATGTTTTACCAGAACTTCCAAGTACCTAGGAAAAAAAGGACAGATGGGATCAGACTACAGAAGGTATGCTGAAAAAAGTTTTTTTTTCCCTTGAATTTACTATTTAAGGACTCAAGAGTTGCTCTGCGAAGCGCACTGGGGAGAATTGCAGTTAATGTTTTACACAAAAGGAAAAATTCAACTTCTCTTCCCTATAGTGTGTAGCCTCTTTCTTATCTCTTAAGTGTTCTGCCCTTTAGGACTTCATACAATGGAATTGAAGGGTTTGGACTAATGCAACCATCTACACTAACTACATTGTTCTCATGCCTATTGATTCATAGAACCTGTAGGCTGACTATAAAAAAAGATGGAGGGGAAAACTCTCATCTGCATTTTACTGCAAGTTTATTAACCTTTGGTATTTTACGGCATGTGTGTACATTTCTAAAGCTTCTATGGCAGACCTAAAGAATGTGTGAAAACAGGTAAATGTGAGCAGTGGGGCAGGAGTTAGAAGTGGGAGAATAAATAAAGAACCTTGCAAAAGGGATGTCTGCAATTGCTTAGGAAGGGGTCTTAGGAAAAGCCCAGTTCTGCCCACTCATCTAGCAGGATGGACGGCCGAGGATACATGGGGTCAGTAAAAGGCCTGGTACAAGGAAAAGTAAGATGCATCTAAAGTGTGACTTGTCAAATTTGTTGGAGAAATCACTGTTTAAGTTGCTCTACCACTAAGCAGCTAGAAGCTTTTTGTTGGGAGATTCATTCCTAGAGTTCATTTCCAAACTAGAAATGTAGGATCAATACTAGTCGTCCTGAGGGTTATTTTACAACTAACTACCACTTAGGAATTTGCCACATGGCCTTTATGCGTTTTAGGCTCTAAGATGGCAATCTGAATAAAAATTCGACTCTTTTTTTCTTTTTTGAATTAAAAGGTCAGCACTCCTGGGAGTCTTCCCCTTTTCTTCTGCACAGAGAATGAAGCAAGAGGTGAGGCTTAAAGAACGCAGATTCAAGTGCTCTTATTTCAAGTGCTCTACTCCATGTCCAGTGAGTCACTCACATGATGTAGCCATCTAGATATGTTTTTGACCAATCAACAGAATTCCTTGGGGATTGCAGGACTTCAAAAAAATGACCAATGATTGGGTAAAAGACATCTGTTGTGTCCCATAAAGATTTCAGCCCATTACAAATTAGGCATTGAAAAGCCACTTCTTACATATCTGCTCTCATAGGCTTTACATACTATGAACATATCACTTATGCTGCAGGATGGCTTCTGTGATGATATCCAGGTTCTTGGTGTTTCAGACAAATAACTGAATGAAATAAGCAAATAATATAAGAAAAAAGTAACTTATTAAGTAAAAGTACACTCATGAGAGGTAGGAGCGAGCCTGAGTAGACAGAGAGTTGCTCAAAAGGCCCCAGCAGTTGCATTCTGTGGGATTTACAATTTTAACCTAGGTCGTGTGGGTTGATTATTGGCAGAGCCCACTGATTGTTCTCAACCCACTGGCTTTATCAAATGTGGCTGGGCCCACTGATTTATCTCATTGGCTATATCAAATATTGCTGAAATAACTAGACATCCCCCACTGATCTGCTTACATTTCCTTGCACAGCGAATTTTCTATCCTGATCAGGTTTTTCTAGTTAGCCACATGGGAAGACGTTCCAGCCCACTTACCTGCCTCCATTTGCTATACCTATACCACTGACTATCAGTAGAGAATTTCCTTAGTGTGTCTGGAAAACTTACACTGAAGGGAGAGCATTAAAGCAGTTATCCATTTAATTCTACGAAACACCCACCAACATCCAGCAGTGACATGAATAATTTTAGGTCTCCAAACTATTACCAATGAAAAAAACCTTTAGATTTCTTCTTCCTTTAGTTGTCCCCTATGTCTTTTCTCCCTAAATTTGAACACATAGGAATACACCTCTGGGATTCTACATTTACTCTGAGTGATGCACCAGTTCCTTCTTCTTGTAGGTCCTGAATCCATCAGAATTCCCCCTGGACTGTACTTATAAATGCCTGGTGGCTTGGGGATGGGGAGAAATTCTACAAAGTTTTCCTTGCCTGACCCTTTCAAAGGCTGGCTAAGACTCAAAGTAAAATATTCAACTGCCTGAGGCAATGAATAACTGTAAATAGAGTAAATTTTAAATTTGTTTGTTCCTTATCTGGCAGTGGACCACTAATGAACCCAATAATCAGACAAATACCAAGTCAGAAATGTTTAGAATTAGAAATCGACCTTAAGGATAATCTAATTTAATTCCTTCACCCTTCAATGAAATACAAACTCCTCTTACAGGAACTGCCCCTAGTTCTTCCACTCATAGTCTGGAATGTTTATCCCCAGGAGAGCACTTTTAAAAAAAGAAACACACAGGAAAGAGGATACTCAGACCATGACTGTTTTTGTAGGAACCTCACTTGGAGCAAGTCCACTATGGTTTCAGTTAGGTTCTTACGGAGGGTGACCTATGTGAATAGTCATCCATTCATGAGTAGTTTTATTTTATGATGGCTCCAAGCTTCTTAAGATACTTCCCAGTGGTAACCTGTAGTATTTATTATTCCCTTTGTTTGGTGCCTCTCTCGGGAATAAGGATTATACATTCTTGTCCTATTAAATTCTGGCTAGCCTGTATTAGCTGGTAAGTAACCCATGACCTGCTTTAGCCAGTAAAATGTGAGCAGTTGAACAGAAATGTTAAACACTGTTGTGTACTATGTTCTCTCTTTCTCTCTGCTATGAGATCTACAATGTTCCAGATAGTTCTTCACCACTTGGGATCCCTGAGTGAAAATGTTTTGGTGCAGAGCTACAACTGATTCTTGATGGATATGGAGTATGAATGAGATGTAAGCCTTTGTTTTTATAGGCCTTTCAGATTTGAGGTCATTGTGACCACAGCAAAACTTAGCTTCTCCTGAATGAAGCACCCTCCTCCCTAAGTAAACCAAGTAAGATTATAAGAAGCAATTCAGGTGACAGAAACATCATGGTGACTTTAGAATAATTACACGCCTGGAAGACAGTAAGAATATTAGGCTTGACCTATGGAAAGGTAACTAGTTGGGTATCAATCAAGGTAGTGTCTGACTCAACTTTTATCATCTCATACAACTCCTGAATTAAGCCTAATTTTTACTATATTACTATACAATGCAACCATTAAAGTTACTTTGAGGGTATATAAGTTTTCTACAGTCTCATTTAATTCAGCTGATGGCCACAATTCTAGGAAGTTAGTGTTTTTATGACTAATAAAGTCGTGCAATGTATGATGTGAATGACAAAAACTAGACACTAAACAAGTCATGGTGACTACTCAGAGGGGAAATAAGTCAGTAATAATACTTGAAACAAAATATTTAAGATTTTCACTAATTACTAGGTCAGAGAACTAAAGGAGAGTTGGGAAGACTGCTTGTCTAGGTCAAGTGTTATGATGATGACTGAACTAAGACTAAAAACCCAAAACTAAGTGGGAAAAACTTGAAGGCCCCACTAGTGTGTAATGTAGTTTAGTTGCATAAAAATAGAAACACTAGCCAAGAAAACACCTCAGATACAAACAATAAATTAAGTAACTGACTGTTAACCTATAAGCACCAAGAAGAAATTCTAATAAGCAGTCTCTTTTGAGTGGGAAGTACTCTCCAAAAGGTTTAACTGCAGCACATAATACTAATTACCCCATTTTCCTTAATGAATATACACATGAAGATTTTGCCAGGTCAATGAAGTTACACCACACTGGAATGAATGGTAAGTTAATTCACTAAGTGAATATATGTCTATATGCCCAAGCAGGCTTTTCTCAGGTCATTCACTTCCTAAAAATCTACTGACATGGTCTCTCAGTGAGTTAAGTGACATGATCTCAGCTCTGAAGTCTGCTGTAAATAAACCAGAATTCAAATGCTGAAGAATTTCCTTAGTTTTCAGCATAGTCTGGATTACGCATAAGTGCAGATGGCTTCTCCTTTATCCCTCCCAAGCCAGACACAAAATTTTGGACACCACCACCAATATTTTCATTTTATTCATAGGATTCCCTTCTCTTAAGCCCAGTTGCATTTACCACTGTATCACATAGCTACACTGGGGGAGGGAGGCAGGGAAGACATATTGGAGTTTAACCCACTATCTATCTTATTTTTTAGGTTTTTGCCACAGGGCGTGTATACTCCCTGGAGAGACAGACAGTGAGAAGAAAGTGAGAAATAACTCCCCAGAGGAATGCCCATGCTGCAGTCCCTTCTTCTCCATTCTCCTTCTGGGATTTTGGGCACACACGCACACGTGCCTGGTATGATTTTCAAGTCTCTAGGTTTGGGACTTGAACCATGTGAGAGTCCAGCATCTTAACCACCATGCCACTTGCTGGCCCCATGGCCCACTATCTGATTATATATATATATATATATATATATATATATATA